GTGGAGCCAAAGCAGTTTTTCATTGATGGACTTTACGTAGACTCAGTCTCCTTGTTTCAATGAATGGCAGGGCTGCTAGGGTCTTTGGTTAGCACTTCTTTTATCTGTGAGAAAAGAAACCTAACACATTTCATTAATGCCTGGCAGTGTTTTGCAGATCTCATAGTTGCTTGGGCACATTTAGGCCCCCCTTTTCTTGGTTGTCAGCCAAGTCTTAGCTGTGAACAATGTCCTTGGATGGTGCCAGCATCTTATCTTTGGACTGAGCTTGCTAGCTATATTTTTTTCCTCAGTTAACTCGTTCTGTTCTTTTTCCTGCTCTCCTTCTTGGCTTCTTTTAAGTTACAAAGGAAACTTCCACTCTTCTCTCATACACCTTTTCCCAACAATGAACACATACACATTGCCATTATACACCCTTCCAGTAAAATAACTTCTATACAGAGCTTTGGAGCAACAAACCAGGACAAGCACACCCACTTTTGAGGAGTCCAACAAAGTTCAGGAGGCTTACAGTGGCTTTAAGGCAAGGGGTGAGACCCACAGCGGCAATTAACAAGTCATCCACATATTGCAGGAGGAGGACCCTGTCCTCATTGTCCCACTCCTCCAAGTCTCTGGCCAGGGCCTGGCCAAACAGAGTGGGGGAATTTTTAAATCCCTGGGCCAACACTGTCCAGCAAAGCTGCTTTTTAACCCTCCTTTTGTCCTCCCACTGGCTCCACTCTGGGGCTTGCATGGCTGAGGGCTCAATTGCAAGGGTCATTATCCAGGTATTCTCTGGGGGTAAGGTGAAGGTTATTTCATCTTGGGTGAAATGCAGGGTGGCTCCTAAGCAACAAAGCAGGTCCTGTCCTAGTAGAAGTGTTGGACAATCGGGGAGGTAAACCAGTTTGTGAGATAGAGTTCTGTTTCCCAAAGCACATTCCACTGGGGCATATACTGGGCACTTGGTTCCTTTCCCTGTGGCACCCACCACAGTGAGGGACTCTGACACAGGCAGCTGCAGGGGTTGGTTTACGGTGGTTCGTGCAGCTCCAGAGTCTATTAAAAAGTCTATGTCCGAATCTCCCACCCTCATGTTTACTCAGGGTTCTGGGGGCAGGATAGTCCGTCTCCCCTGACACCCCTATTCTTGATCCTCCGCTGCCATCATAGGGGTACCTTCCCTTTCGGGGCACTCATTTTTCCAATGTCCCTCCTTCCGGCATATGGCACACTGGTTGCGACCCAGACACCTTTCCTGTGAGCCAGGGCGCCCACGTCCTCTTATTCCCCGGCCCCTTCCACCTTCCTGGAATTTTCCCCTGCCACCGGCCTGTACTGCTGTGACCATCATTTTCGCTTGCCTCTTTTCCTTTTCTTTAGACACAGCCTGATTACTCTCCACCTCAGACAGCAGGGTCCGCATAAGGACATTACAATCATCACAGTCAGGCTTACAGCTAGCCAGGCACCCTTCAAAGACCGAGATAGACTTGCTTGGGTTCATAGAGAATTCCCCTGCTTGTGCCTTAAAGGCTGCTAGGTCCACTGGGTTAAAAGGCACATGGGTGTAAACCTGCATAGTAGTGGCCTGATTCCTATCTGAGCCATGTCTGGACACCACGGTCTCAGTGATCAACGGATAAAATTCCACCAAGGGGGCAATCTCTGGGACCTGAGACACCTTGTCTTTATATGGTGGGGGTGTGATAGCCGAAGGGGACACCGGACCTGCCATTACAGCTGTGGGGGGGTTCTCGGGACTAACAATAGCTACTACCGAACCTATCGGAATCAAATTACACTTTTGCAAAATATCTAACCTATCTCTTAACAACATAAACAACTGTACATACATATGTTCATTCCATTTACCCATTTGCTTACAAAACAGAAGTAATTGAAGGATCGTATTATAATTAAGTGATCCTTCCGGTGGCCACCTTTCCTAGTCCTCTAGCTGATATTGAGGCCAGTCTACTGTACAGAATCTTTTTAATCTACTTTTAGTTATTGGATTTGCGCCAAACACTTTCCAATTCACCAGAATTCATTCCAAGGGTGTACACCTTGCCCTGCCTGCAGTACTCTGTCCCTGCCCCGTAGGGAGACACTGGGCGTCCCCAGGTCATAACAGGTAGACACTGGGCGTCCCCAGGTCAAGACAGATAAAGTCCCCATTGGACTGTTCCTACCTTATCCAAGGGTCCGGTTCTGCACCGTCGCCCTATCCACGGGACCGGTTCCCCACCGTCGCCCACAGCTGCTTCTCCACTACTTGAGCGCGTTGCACCGTTGTGCCCTCCGGGGTCAACCAAACCACGTCTCCGCCGAGGCCCCCGGTAAAGTCACCGGTGCGCGCTGGGCGTCGGTCGTCGCCGCAATCTGTCGACCTCCGAGAGGGGTCTGGGCAAGGCTAAATTTCAGCCTCGAGCCCCACGTTGGGCGCCAAAACTGTTGCCAGCACAGATAACTGGTTGCTTACATATTCCAATTGAGGTTGATTAGAGTTTAAACATGGAAGGATAGAGTTTGGTTCACTTAGGCCTAGTGCAGGAAGGCTTCATTGACACTTTGTGGCCTTCCACCCTCCCGAGTTACCTAGGGTGATGCCTAGTGACGTCAACACTAGCCTCACTAGATGAAAGCATTTATAATCCAGGGTGTATGAGTTGAATATTTAAAGGGTAAGGCCTTGATTATACAGAAGCCTTTTATCAGGCCTCTAATTAGTTAAAGTTGAGGTTGGTTAAAAGCAAAGTTCACGTCCACACAGTGTACATTTATTAATCAGTCAATTACTGGCAAATCTAACCAGGAATTGCAATGGCTAGCTGCCTAGTCTGGCACACAGATTAGTTCCTGTAACTAGTTAGACACATGCATTTTATTTCTGGGTGGAAGGGCACTCTAACCTTGCCAATGCAATCTGTAAATCTAGTTCCCTCTCTCCCACTAGAACTCTGTGAAGTTAGATTTCCCGCATTTTACATTACAACACAATGAAGGTGCCACTGTGCCTGATCTCCAGGAGTCCCTGGGCATAAGCTATAACTATCACCTTCCCTTGCTACACCTGAAGCCCAATGGCTGATGTGATGAATCTGCTAAGCAGGAAAAGAATTATTCCCATCAATCCTTTTCCTATTAACCTATAGCAGGCCCAGGCCCTTCTTCTGGCCAGCAGGGAAAGGGTGCATGTGTGTGGGGAGGGGGGAAGAGAGAGAGCAGGGAACCCGGAGAGCTGTTAGATGGGCCTCACTGTGAGCTAGGAGGTGAGCAAGGAATCTGAGGAGTTACACACTGAGCAGGAATCTGACCAAGGGAGCAGAAGCTGAAGAGCAGCAATGTGTGGAGCAGGCTGTGAGCTGCAGATATTGCAGCAGGAGATAAGTCTGTGCAGAACTTGTGTGAAGCAACAGGGTGGACTAGGATTCCCAGCAGGCCAGCATTTGATGTGCATGACTAATTTTTTTTTCTATTTTATTTTAAATCCATTGTGTCAGTTGCCAGAAAAATAATTTTATCTGCCAGGGTTTTTTATGTGGGTCTAAAGATTTGCATTATTATCACAAAATATTGGGATATCCAATGTCAAATGAACCACAGCCACTGGGAGCTGTGAGCAGCCGTACCTGCGGATGCTCAGGTAAGCAAAGCCTCTCGCAGCCCACAAGGGGCTTATCCTGAACAAGCTGCAAACCAAATTTGGGAACCCTTGCTTTAGATAGTATGGGGGGGGAGGGGTTGCAGTGGGCTTGCCTCATTGGGGAAGGGGTAAGTGCCGGGTTTTTTGCATTCCAAAGGTGGTAACCCTAGGGTGGACTGGAGAGGGACCTTTCGTGAACTCTTAAGGTACAAAGCCCAGGTCAAGTCCAGGCTCTTAAAGGGTAGAAACCTGAAGAAAGCCATTGCAACCTAAATACCCCAGGCACAAGGGAATAGCCTGGGATGAGATCAATGGTGCACCCAAAGAGAAGGGCTAGTCTCCTGGAGAAGAAAGATTACATACTATAAGCAAGTAGGGCAAGGGAGTGGGGCTGTAGCCTAATTGCCATGCCATTTGCAGGAGCCTGCTAGCAGGATCTGTACAAGAGCTGCCACAATAGCAAACATAAGCAGCTGCTGAAAATATTTGTTGGGATGGCAGAGCACATCCCCCCACTCACCCGGCAGCAGTGGCTCCTCTCCCACAAGCCTGAACTCTGCTCCTGTTGCCTGCTCCACCTGTTGGCTCTTGCTGCTCGCAGATTTGGAGGAGCCTGCCACAGTGTCAGTTGACTTGTATGTCTGCTCACAGTAATGCCCTCCCCAATGTCCCATCCACCCCTTGCTGGCCAGGGGCTGCTGTGGAGAGCATGGATGGGGGCGGGGAGGAGAGGTAGAGAAGGGTGCTGGTGGAGCGGGGGAGGATAATAGGAACTGGAGAGCCTGAGGCCCAGACCAGAGACCAGTTGCCCACAGCCAGTCAGGAGTCGGAGTCCCAACAAGCTACCTGCAGCAAGGAGCTTAGAGACCCCGACGACGAATGGACCCTAGTTTCAGGACTCACGGTAGGAAGTGGCTCAGGTGTGAGTGAGTGGTACCTCGCACCCGAGGAAAGTCAGCATGTTGCAGTATGATCCCCGCTGATTGGGTGGTGACCACACTCACTACTGACAGGGCCCTGGGCTGGGACCCGGTGAGAGGGACTGGCCGGGTCCCCCTATCTGCCTGCCACCACCCGCCCTTAGGTGGTGGCCCACTTCTGACTCTGGCCACTAGGCTGCACAGCCCTGAAACCAGGGTCCTGGTACTGAGGCTGGCCAATAGCCTCACTGCCCTAAACTCAAGGGCCACCCTTTTGAATCTGACCATTGTGCCTTATCGTGGCGAGACCTGAAACAGTCAGGTAGACTGTAACTGCTCTGTCAGCACACCCATCATCCACTTCAACAGGTGATGAGGCGTGCATATACCGCCACAGATCCAAAGAATTGCTATACAGTGTTACAAAACAATTTGTGACAGTTCAATACAATCCGGTTAAAAAATTGACCAAGGTCTCCAGAAACCAGCAGACAGCTGGTCTGATAGCAGATATTCCTTGTTTTGAGTAACTGGATTGGGCTCGCACAATCAAATTGACCACAGAGCCAGTTAATCTCATGGACAATGAAGAATCTAAACAAGATGAGCTGCTGAAGCATGATGGGGAAGCAGGGTGAATAGGTGTCTGATTCAAATATTATGCGAGGTCTTTTTACTTTGTTTGTGGCATTGATGGAGCCAGACATAGCATGGTAACAGATCCATGGCTCACAATCCATCCATATTTTTTATTTTTGTGTGGTCAGAGCTATCCTCCTGTGAAGGAGACAATCATCTTCCTGCTATAGATCAGCTCCAGAAACCTCTTTTTCTAGCTGCAGCCTGTATTTGCCTCTTGTCCAAGCAACAATTAGTAATTTTAAGAGTGAAATACAGCAACACACAGACTGTTTCCAGCAAGCCACATCGAATTCCAACATTGAATACTCAGCACCTATGGCTCCCCACGTTTGTAGTGACCAAAGCACAGTCTGGTGAAGGCAGAAATTGAGTGATTTTCCATTTAGTACCACTGGTTTACCGGTTCTATCTCCTCATAATGGCTAACAGATGCCATACATTTCAAACATGTGAAAAACAAGTCAATCAATTAACCAGTTTATTTAGGTAACTGGGTTGGGATACCAGTACACCACTCCTTTGTTTGAATCTTAGTGATCTAGCGAATGTACGGCATTATATTAGTTTGTACCTTTGTTGATCTTTTTCTGAGTTCACGGAGAACTTTCCAAACAATTTACTATTTTCTAGCTTATACACCAGATAGTTTTTGTAAAGGGAAATCATGCCTCACCAATCTATTAGAATTCTTTGAGGGGGTCAACATGTGGACAAGGGTGAGCCAATGGATATAGTATGCTTGGACTTTCAGAAAGCCTTTGACAGGGTTGCTCACCAAAGGTTCTTAAGTAAAGTTAGGAGTCATGGGATAAGAGGGAAGGTCCTCTGATGGATCAATAACTGGTTAAAAGATAGGAAGCAAAGGGTAGGAATAAATGGTCAGTTTTTACAGTGGAGAGGTATAAAGAGTGGGGTCCCCAAACGATCTGTACTGGGACCTTTACCGTTTAATATATTCATAAATGATCCGAAAACAGGGTGAATAGTGAGGTGGCAAAGTTTGTAGACAATACAGAATTATTCAAGATAGCTAAGTCCAAAGCTGACTGTGATGAGTTACACAGGGAGCTGACAAGACTGGGTGTGATGGGGTGTACCAACCCCGCATTGCTTCAGCAGGGGTTAAGCACAATCCGTAGGCCAAGGAAGCCATGCCCCTTCACCCCTACTGGGCATGCTCCAACTGGGACCAGGATATGAAAGGGAGTAGCTCAGCTCAGTCTGGGCTGGCCATCGATGAGAGCAGATATGTGTTGCAGGGTCCTGCCGTGAGACTCCCGGAGCTCCAGGACATAGAAGCCCAGCTGGGCTGAGACTCCAGCGGACCCCCAGTCAACTGCTGATGGAAGAAAGACAGCAGAGGCCATAAGATTACAAACACTGGAAGGAAGGGTAGGAAGTGGCCAAGGGAATGGGACTGTAGTATCGGGTGAAAGTGCCCTGGGCCGCGACCCAGTGGAGATGGATGAGTCCGGGTCCGCCTACCCCAGCTGCCCCACCACCAGGGCAGCCGACACCCTGAGGGGCAAATGTAGCTATTACACAGACTTGGGCCTCTAGGCTGTGCTGCCCTGAACCACAGGACAGCCCCACTGACTCAGGCCATTGGGCCATACTGCCCTGAGCTGCAGGGCTGACATGCAGACTTGGGCCCTCGGCCGTGCTGCCTGAGCAGAAGGATGGCATTACTGACTCTGGCATTGGGCTATATTGCCCTGAGCTGCAGGGCTGCCACCTAGACCCAGGCCACTTGGGTCCCCAAATAGCCATTTTGGGAATCCACACAATCCGACACCCCGTGATGGGATGTACCTACCCCACGACACTGGGCAACAAAATAGATGAAATTCATTGTTGATAAATGCAAAGTAATGTACATTGGAAAACATAATCCCAACTATACATACACACTGATGAAGTCTAAATTAGCCGTTACCACTCAAGAAACATATTGGAGTCATCGAGGATAGTCCTCTGAAAACATATGCTCAATGTGCAGCAGCAGACAAAAATTCTAACAGACTGTTAGGAAGCCTTAGGA